CCCCCCAAAAAGTCTCCCCATTCGCCGACAACAGACGAGCCATAGATACTCTTATCTATTCCCATACTGCTTGTTAAACCCTGAGAAATAAAGTCAAAAATATAACATAAGAGAATAGACCAGAAACTTCATTTCCCAGATTAGGAACTTTTACGAGACATCAGAGAGATAAAATTCCAACGATAGTTTTCACATACACCCAGGAAAAATCAGAAGCCCCAGAATTGAGTTTGAATCCAAATACCCAGAGGCTGTTGATTCCACTCGTTGAAAATATTGATAAAAAATCAGGTACTCCATTTCCAGATTGTCGATACTCATCCCCAATTTATGAAATACATTTATATGTTTTTTTTTTCCGGGTGGAAAAACCTCAGAGGGAATGAGCGAGTATCTGATAATTCCATCGAATCAAATAACCAGCGAGGGGCGCGAGTGCGACAAGGCTGGAGTTGGTTTTTCAGCTTTTGTCATGCAGAAAGATCGATGCGCACGTAAACGCGGCAGTTGCCTGAGGAATCAGCCCCTTGACTACTGGCGGCACGATGTGGTAGTTTTTTTTCATTTTAAATAGTAAAAAATTAAAATCCCTTGAGGGGGAATTCACTACTCCGCGGGTATCGAATTTCTCATCATTGGGGGAATAATTGTCTTCTGACATTCGATGAAACTCCCGTGACAGGTGAATTAAAGGGATAGATTTGTTGATATTCCTCGAGAAATTCGTGATGATAGAATAACGAAGTGAATTCAGTAGCGAAGCGGTGAAACAGTTCAATTCGATTTTAAGTATTGGCGAGTTTTCGATGAATATCTCGAAATCTAAGGGAGATGGCAAAATTTTCGTTAACTAGGGGGCTCCGCCCCCTGATCGCTTCGCTCGCCAACCCCGGGAGGGGCTTGGCCCCCCTGCTCGCTTCGCTCGCTCCCAGCAGTTCACAATCAATATTATACAACTATCGTATTCACAAGAAAGGCTCCAACCAACGCCGGTTCTAGTGAGGTACAACCACTCTAAATTTTTCATTTTCCATTACGTAATTCTAGATTGAAAAATTATAGAGAGAAATGAGAAATGTGATCTTTTACCTCCCCTAAACTTGCGGGATCAGGCCCCAACCACAAAATATTTTTCATTAATTTATATCAAATCGAAATATCTTTGACGTATTAATACCCTTATGACCCTTATTTTGAGCCTTGGGACCTTGCGACCCTTGTGAACCTTTTTGACCCTCGTGACCCTTATTTTCACACATAAACCTTTTTGACCATCATGACCCTTTTTATATCCCTCAATTCGCTCTTCAAAAAAAGTCATTTCAAAAATTCCCTCATTCCCCTCACATTCGGAGATATTCCTCCAAACCTCAGCTGAATCCTAAATCCACGTAAACCATTTTACCGCTTCACTACAATCATTGACAGTTCAGTCGTTAATTATTAAAAATTTATCTGTGACAAAAAAATCGGTTTGAGACAAGAATATTAATGGAGATCTGTCGCTGAAGTTTCGAGCGTTTGATTGACATTGATGGATTTTTTTCCCATTAAAAAATAAAAAATGTAGTTCTGTGGCTTTGTTTATTAACAGAATGCCCGTCAGTCCGGTAAACCGGGCTGCTACTTCCTGAGCAATTTCGCCGAGGTACCAGTCAATCCCATCAAGTACAACGTGACTGATGCTGGTGAAGGACGAGAGTATCTCGGTCTTGTGCAAAATAACCATCACGTGTCTACCCTCGAGATTGAGGTCACGGCTGATGACAATAACGTCATCACTACTGGGTACATTTCAATCCAGAGTATGAATTCATTAAAATTCTCCACTCCATTTTAATTAAATTAGCCGAAAAATAAGAGTGCCCACCCCCCAAAAATACATTTTATTACTGCGATTTCAATTAACTTGGACGTGGAGTAGATGATTTTTTCACAAAGCCAATTTAATTAACTCCTGAAACCCACGAATGTGACATTAAAAATCCAACAGCTCGGATGCACGTATAACTGAGGTCCACGTTGTTGCAACAGCCGAAATAATAAAACTGTCGATCAGGCTAACGAACACGGGATTAGTGTCTTCAGATTATCAGGCACGTATCGTTGGCTGTCCATCGGGATTACCGAACTCTTGGGCGCATGCAATCACACGAAAATACCGAGTTCCACCCCAGCACGATTCACTAGTGACTCTGGATATCCCTGGGGGAGTTGTCATTGACAGATTCAAGTGCAATGGTATACATCTCATGAATGACAAACATCAAAGAGTTATTGGATATTAAGGGGGTTCAGCCCCTGCCTGTGATTGGGGATATGAAAATGACGATCCTTTTTTTTTCGTCATGAAAAATTTATTACAGTCATGTGACGACAGTTTTTTTTCGTGATTGATTGCATTATCTGTTGTTGAAAAAATATTTTTGGAAAACAATGGCCAGGGAAAAGTGGCGGCTAATGTTGGAGCAATGTTCGCGGGCGATGTTGGCGGATAATGTTGGGGTAATATTCTCGGGCGATGTTGGCGGACAATGTTGGAGCAATGCTCGCGGGCGATGTTGGCGGATAATGTTGGGGCAATGTTCGCGGCCGATGTTGGCGAACATTGTTGGAACAATGTTCGCGGGTGATGTTGGCGGATAATGTTGGGGCAATGTTCGCGAACAATGTTGGCAGCCAACATTGTCCGCCAACATTGCAGCAAGATTGAATTCAATGAATCAAAGAATTCAATTAAAAATCCATCATCATAGAAATTCCATTCGAAACTAAATTGCCAATTTATTACCATAGCTACGCTAACGGTGTTGTGACGAAAGCAATTTCCCACGTGTTAACGATCCACTTGGAGTCTGCCAACGACCGCAAAGGCCAATAATCACTGGGATATTAAAAAATGAATAATAGATATTATTGATTTTCCAATCTCCGCACCGAGACATCCTCAATCGTCCGCCACTCCCCAGTAAATTCAAAATTTCATCTCAACCCCTGGCACTGTAACCAATAATCTTTGAGAGCAATTTGCCCCTCAGCACTGTGAACAATATTATGCTCACGTGAGTTTGTACACTGAGCTGGATGGCTAATATACGCTTGGATGAATGTTTGCAGTTGAAGTGATAAACTATCGTGGTGAGTTGGTGGCTGCTAGGAGGATCATAGTGCACAAGATGAATCGTTGTTTCTGCCTCTGGCACTGCATTTGCACGTGCTATGAAAGCCCCCGTGGATTTTCATGCTTACCGATGACACCTGAGCATTATCATCAAGCTGGATTCCGTGGTCCAGTGCCGGCAATCAATCCCAGAACTTTGGGACTATTTAAAATGGCCATTGACATTATCATAATCATCACCATTATCTTCACCATTTTCCTGGCACTCGGTAGATTATTCATTGTTGGCTTTGAGTTTCTAGACTTATTAATGGTATTTTCACACTGATCGTAATTTAGGAATCGTTAAGTGGATTATTGGAGTTCTATCTCCCCCCGTTGGTCGCTGGGGATTGAATAATCTCGTTGCTGGATTAAGAATTGAGGAGTACTACGAGCCCGAGCTCAAGTGTAGGTGTGTCGTTACTGATGATGAGGGCATTCCCATTCATCCAGACACTGGCAGACGAACTGTTCGATTATGCAGTAGAACTGTGGAATTTGTCATCAATTCTCTCTTCTTGTTCATTTATCCGTGCTGTGTTCTCTGCGATTGCATGGGGAAAATTGTTAAATGCAGACGAGCGAGACCACCCGATGATAGTAAGGTGAATTGTTAATTCAGGAAATTGTCTCGCTGGGTTTTTCACTTTTAGTTACAGTGATTAATCGTTTCAGGATCGTTTGATCGATAAAGAGGGACCGCGGATGATATCCGTGAGATCCTACGGAGACACCAGAAACTCAAAGTTGGAGCAAGAGGACACTGAGTACGTAATTACGGAGCTGAAAAGGTCTCGAGTGTCCCTTCAAGATTTTTCCAACAAGCCGAAGAATAAATTCTGAATTATTGCGGAAAGTTTTTTAATTAGAATTATACAGTCGCTTGTTTTTTTAATGCAGCTACTTATTACTCAACGTTTTTTATAACCTGATTTTTAATTTATAAACTCGAGAGATGTACGAGTATTTAATAAAGTCGAGGGGTTTGGATTATTTAAGCTGATGAGTGTGCTTGAGGACATTTTGATACTGACTGCCCTTGGACTTGTCGTGCTCCTGAGTCTCGGTAATACAGCGATTATCGAGTATAAAAAAATTATTTTACACGCTCGAGTGTTGAAGCACGTTGATTAATGGATTTTAAGGTGTGATAAAGTGGCTGATAGGATTCTGCATCCCAGGATTGAGTCAATGGGGATTGGACACACTTTTGGAGGGCACGAAAATTGACGAGTGTTATACCACACATTCCAGATGCAAATGTTTAGTGAATGGTGACAAAGAGAATTTAATTCATTCAAACTGTAGTCCACGCACGATCCGAATATGCAGCAGGTAGAATACCAATTTTTTTTCTCTCTTCCACTTTGAATGGGTTGCACAAAGCGTTCAGTGGTAGAACGACGTGAGAGTGGAAAAAGGCCATTACCAAAATCGTAAATTCGTCGAACTCCAAAATTCCTCTACATTATCGTTTTCTCTTTTATTTGTAGAAAATTAGAGTTTTTACTAAATTTAGTTTTTTTCCTGACGTATCCCATTGCCGCCTGCTGCCAGTGCACAGAGGCGTGTTGCAGGAGAAGACGAGCTTCGGCTGATGAGTCCAAAGTAAATTCCACAATCGCCCTCCGAAGTCATTTTTACCCCCCACTAATGAGCTAATTTCCGCAATCAGATGTGTCTCATTACCGATAAAAAGACTTCTCCGAGAACGATATCCGTTCCTTCGTACGGGGAGTGCAAAAATTCAAGGCTCGAGGCTGAAGACATGCGGTACGTAGTCCAAGAGTTGAAAAATTCTGGAGAAACTCTGGAAGCGAAAAAGCACAAGAGACAGCACTTGAAGCCCCGGAGGAGCGCCAGTTTATCAGGAAAATTATCTCGTCAGTTGAAGGACAGAGAAGAGTTTTTTACACCCAAATCCGTAATTTCGAAATCCGTTAAGAAAAAATATTTTCACCGCAGGCAAGAGCTCATCAGTGGAGCGATTGGTAAACGACCTCCTCGGCAAGCGAATAGTCTTCAGGAATTTGAGAGAGCCACTGGGTGACCTGAAAGTGCCGGCAGGCAAAATGTATTCATTACGAGGATATTTCATGAACGCCGAGGATAATGGCTTCAGATTCATCACCCCCTGTCCTTTCAAGCAGGTGAATACCCTCAATGACAATTAAAAAGTCATAATTGTACCCGATCAGTAGTTGAGAATTTCAATTAGTGAGTGAGTAAAGATTTATTGCATATTTGCGAATTACGGGCGACTCGGGGGGGAAGGGAGTTCGGGGATTTACAGGTGAAATACAATACCCTTCTTCAACGTAATTATGGAACTTCTGTGACGATGTATTTGAAATTTAATTCAATGATTTATTGTATTCAACAGCGTCTCAACGTTAAAATTTTTGATCGTGGAAGGCACAAATCGTATGGGGCATTGTCTAATGACGGCGACTTTCGCGAGAAATCGCGAAGTTCACACTTCGCGTTAAATCGCGATGTTTACAGTTCGCGTTAAATCGCGATGTTCGCACTTCGCGTTAAATCGCGATATTCACACTTCGCGTTGAATCGCGATGTTTACAGTTCGCGTTAAATCGCGATGTTCACATTTCGCGTTAAATCGCGATGCTCATACTTCGCATTAAATCGCGATGTTCACACTTCGCGTTAAATCGCGATGCACATACTACGCGTTAAATCGCGATGTTCACACTTTGCGTTATATCGCGATGTTCACCATTCGCGTTAAATCGCCATTTTAACACTTTAGGTTAAGACGCGATTTTCACACTTCGCGTTCAATCGCGATGTTCACACTTCGCGCTTAAATGCGATGTTCACACTTCGCGTTAAATCGCGATATTCACACTTCGCGTTGAATCGCGATGTTTACAGTTCGCGTTAAATCGCGATGTTCACACTTCGCGCTAAAATGCGGATTTCACACTTCGCGGCAAGTCGCGATTTTCACATTTCGCGTTAAATTGCGATATTCACACTTCGCGTTAAATCGCGATGTTAACATCATTGTGGAAAGTGCTAGTGAAGTTGAATTGAAGTTTTTTCTCGTTCCCCTCCTTGAGACAAGTCTAATTACATTTGAAATTTTCAATTTTGCTAATCAATCAACAAATACAATCGAATATTCTCCATTAGTCAGTCAACGAATAATATTGATCCCCAAATTTTCCATCGATTTGTTAATGAAAAATTGTGATTAAAAAATTTTCATTGCAATAACAACCAGTAATGAACTATTTCCATTACTTGAATAATGGATATTTCTTTCAGCTATCGTCGAATTCCGCGATAAACTAATAAACAATGCCTATGAAATAAATGCGAGACAGAGATAAAAAAATGAACTAACGAGAATTTAATTTGACCGGAATATATAATTAACTACGGTTTATTCAACAATAATCGTACTGTACAATTTGTTCACATAATTTGAACGAGGTCACAATTTTTTCTACATTAACCGTTAAGATAATGGTAAGAAGTGAATTTACATGAAAAATGGATTTACCGAACGGCAATTAAAAACCCATAAAATGACGAATAAATTCCATTCCAAATTGACGCTAACGAGCCTTTTTTCGTTTCAGCACTGGTTAATAGACGCTGACGGGGTAGCTCAGCCATGCTCTCCCCCCTTGGTGCATCAAAGCACTCTATTCATGAGGAATTTCAAAAATGCTAAAGAAGTTTACGAAAGCAACGAATTGTCACTTTTACCTAGAGCTGTCTGCCTAAATGTACCATTCTTGCCATCTGACCTGAGTGAATAACAAGGCTACAGTCTCAGTTGATGATAACTGCTGATGAATTTATTTCCGTCAATAGCATTGATCCAGACAATTTTACTGTTCATTTATCGCTCCTTGGGATATTTCTCTCATTGCGAGGGATTTTTTCAAAGTGTTTTCCTCTAAAGTGATTTTTTTACGGCTGTTTCTTCCAACGGGCCTATTAATATTTATGAGGATAATCCAGTCATCGGTTTTGAATGAATGGGTTCACACCAGGTCTCGCTGGGAGGTGCAGAGAAAGGCCCTTTCACCGTTTACACGATCTGATGACCCACCTCGATACGCATTCTCTTAATTTTTTTCTTCCGGAGGGAAGCAGACGCAATAATACAAACTTATTTTTTAGATTTATTTTTTTATCATAGGCGAGAGAAGATGGGGCCAATTACAGGACCAATTTAAATACATTCATTTATTCATGCTAAATTTAAAAGATTTAATTGCATTTAACATTTATGTATATTAAATTCTTTAATTTTAGTCATCTTAATTAGTTATTTTATTCAATTTTGTTTACGAAAATTTCTGATTTTTCAAAAAATTGATTTTGAAGAATTTCTGACCCTTAAAAACTTTTCACTATTAAAGTAAAATTCAGGGAATAAAAGACTTGTCATTGCTGTATTTTTCCACACATAAAAACAATAATTTTTAGAATTTCGTTTTTGTGAAAACGCTCAATGACTCTAGCCGTAAGGGCAACCACCTTAACCTTAAGGACGTTTAGCCTTTCGAGAAATGTAATTACGAAAACCCCTAGGCCTTTAAAAATCGCATTCTCTTATTTTTCGCGCCCGCAGAAAGTAAAAAAAAACGTCTCTTCAGATTCTCCAATTTTACTCATGTCACCGAGTTATTTCATCCAATTTAAACTCAACAGTTCTCTCCACTGCAGTAATAAAACTAAGTTGAGATGAAATGATAACAGTTATCCCCATAAATCCAATCGATTGCGCCAACTCCTAAATAATTCCAAAGCACGGGCTCACGTGTTGCATTAATGCCAATGAATTCTTCTCCATCAGAGCTATCGAAAATTCCAATGTAGAAACAAGTCGTTCTTCTTGCGGTTTGATAGCCATCGACTAGCAGGTTTTCTCAGTTTGTTTCTCACGGACTCCATAGAGAGAAAACTCTGGGAGAGTCGTACTGTATTTGCGCCCCCCCCCCTCCCTCTATCCTAAAGGGCGGCAATGTGCATGTCCTCGGTATCAGTAACAACAAACCTGAAGTCAAAAGTGCCTCTCTAAAACCTCGTCGAATCGTCTGAGTCACGTTTGGGTGATAAATAAGGAAACTACGGTAGGTTGTGGCTTTCAATGTGCAATGCCTTTGGATTCGGAATTGGTTCTGTGGCGGTGCTATTGCAGGTGATTCTCAGAGCAATTTTTGGGGGTTGAGGATATATTTTCTTTCATACTTTTTAATTAGCGCACGGGGGAGTCGCTACAGGGGATAAATTATTCGAAGTAATGTTCAAATACAAGAAGTTCGCGGGTTTGAGGACCGCCATCTTGGATACCCCTCCCTCTGCCGGAAGAGCGGTTAAAGATGGCGGCTCCTCCACCTCGCATCTTTAAACATGTCTTAAAATAGTCTATCGTCTTCAAATTAACTCCAAATCGTCCCATTCGATTCTTATGGAAGGAACATTTTCTTGAAGTTATTTTTCAGATTTTTTGATTCTCTTTTGATGAAAATTCATGGTACGAAGTTTGACCCGCATTCCAGTATTTTTTTTTACTGGCAAAATCTTTTGATTAATTATACTTTTAATTTAATTAAAATATTTTCATTGAAATAAAGAGAAGAATTTCGAGAAGTGGTCGACGGGTGTGACGGCCGCCATCTTGGATCCCGCCTCCCCCTGCCTCTAGGGATTTCAAATATGGCGGTGCTCTCACCTCGCATCTTTAAACATTCCTTAAAGCTATTCATCTACTTCAAATAACTTCTAAATTGTCTCATCCGATTCTTATGAAAGGAACATTTTTAAAAATCTATCTTTCAGATTTTTTCACCCCCTTTCAGCTGAGAATTCATTTCGCCAAGTTTTCCACGTATTCTAGAAGTTTTTCTTACTTCTGAGGCCTCTAAATAAATTATTCATTCAATATAATTAAAAGATTTTCATTGAAATGAATAAAAAATTCCAAATAAGGAGTTTTATTGGATGAAAAATAAATTATTTGAGGCTTGGGGTAACATTGAATGGATTGAGGCATTAAACGACACCTTTTGTGTGAAATCCCTCTCACCTGGCTCTTGATAAATAACCAAGGCGTGATAAACAATGTTGAAAAAGGCACCAAAGTGCGGAGATTGGGGTATTGTACTCGTACACCGCCAGACGTGTTATTCGAACATTTAAAACAATGGCCACGCGTTTGTACGGTCATGAGGTACGGATAGGCATATTCACGGCGGTCAAAGCGCTTATGCTTTTGTTCTCAGTGTTAATCACCATTGTCGTGGACCGTTGACAGAAGGACCCATCCACTGTGCAAAATCTCACCAGGGATTCCATTCAATCCTTTATACATTTTTCCGGAGCTCAGATTCAGGGAATAAAAAACTTTTCATTTATGTATTTTTTTTTGTTTCAGGTGGGTGTAAATCCACTCCGCGGAAATGGATTTTTTCAGCATTGCGGGGGCTTCTTTCGGGATTTATTTTCTGGATTTGGGAATCGATCAATTGAAAATGGATGTTTGCCAGTGGGGCCTCCAGGGTCTCTATCCCCGTGGGTTCAGGTATTGTCTGCAATTATTTATATTGAGTGGAATATTAATGCAGCGCAAAAGGGAAAAATTGGAAAACGAAAAAAATTATTGAAAAGTAATTCGAAGGGAGATTCAGAGCTTTCTATATTGAATTATTAGAAAACATTTTTTAAATCTGAAAAAAAATTAGAGAGTTTACTTTTGGAGGAAGATTGATGAAATAATTAAAAAATTGTAATTTTTGAAAATTACGATAATTTATAAATAATCAATTTTCTAAAATACAAAACAAACTTTAATACGTGTTTCAACTCCAGAAATAGGCATATCCATGAATCATAATTATCGTTAAACCATAAAGATGTCAATTTTTAACATAAATCTTGAAAATTTTTAATATTAAATTAACCATCAATTTTCACATTAAAATTGTGAAATAATCCATCAACTGATAATTTAGGCATGAAGGTTGACGATTATTTGAATAATCGAAAATCAAGTACCTAAAAATAGAATTAATTTTTCAACGAAAACTTTACATTAAAGAAAAATCAAATCTTCACGAATAATCGAAAAACTTAGTTATTAAATTTTACAATATTTTAAATTTTGATAAACACAGTTAAACTTTGTACAATACAATGAGACAATCCTTCTTAATATTTCCGAAATCTAATATTATTACCCGTCTGTTCCCTTCTCAGAAAAACTAATTTCCCTTTAAAAATGGTTTTTCATTGTGATTTTTATGATGGAAAATCCCCGGGGTTGCTTTATTTACCCCACACTGTTGAATCAATCGTTAATGAACTCCCGACGAAGGGTTTCACCATTCAACAATTCCCCGTTATAATCTGGGTTGACCAAGGCGATAACCCCGAAGAACCTAATTCCCCAGCCGCAGCGAAATCTCTTCCGCTTAGTCCATACACTGGCCGTGTGATTACCGTTATATACCGGTGATAAAGATACTTTTCTCCTTTTATATATTTTTCTCATTCCTATCGGGCTCGCTTCTGTTTTGCGACACATACACAACCCCATCACTGGTACTGGTTCACCAAGATGACGCTCTCTTGTGCTCGTTTCATTTTCTCATCTCCCACGGATCGTCGCTGGCAAATGCGAACTTCACGGGACGGGGAGAGGAGGAAAATTGAAAATAGAGAAACAGGGAGGGAAAGTATAAATGACACATTGGAGTTTCTTGATTGGCTGCACCCGGTCTACGCGAGGAATCTTGTTCTTGGCTTTGATAAGTGGATAAACTTCTTTGTCACGACTGCCGGAATTATCGAAGATTGGTTGAAGAGAAAAAACGTATGTGAAGCGGAAGAAATTAGTCCGAGGGCTGTTCAAAAAATTCGTCCGGCGCAGAAAATCAACAATATTTCTACATGAACTAACGTTGTGAATTAATCCTAGTCCCTCTCTGACATCTAAATAAGCAAAATTTCTGAGCACATTCATGCCCCTCAAAGACCCCCGAGAAACACAAAAAGGAAGCCCCAACAAAAGTTTCCAACAATGTAACCACACAAATACCCGCTAAAAATACAGCTGAAGCTAGGCTGTTGACTGGAGGGAAACAGAACTGCAGTCATAAACGCTGTACTACCGTACAACCGAGCTAGGGTTTCATCACCGCAAAATTGTGGCTCTTCGTATCAAAATAATTTATTTGGCTCCTGACCTCCGCAATTTTCATCAAATTTTCTCGTAAAATAAAATACCTCTGGTCTTTTCGGAGGATAAAATAAAAAGATGCAATGTCAGTCAAGTGTCTTATCTTGAGAATAAAATTTAAAATAATTTATGAATCTTTTGATAATTGATTTTATCATTCCTATTGCATTATTCTGACAATATTTAGTTTTTCATAACAATTGCAAATATAACTGCATTATAATGATAAAGATAATATATTATCTCAAATTAAATCCCGAAAAATTAACTGAAGAGTCACTAATGGGTCAAAAGTTTTTAAATACTAGTTTTTAAGCTATTTTTAATGACTTTTTTTATAAAAAAATTATTCTCAATTATTCAATAAAACAATAATCAAGATGTCACGAATTTTGATTTTTTAATCAAAATTTATTCATTTTTAACTTCCCGGACAGGGAAGTTATTGTAATGCCCCCGAAAATGAAAAATCGATTTTCCATGATATCTCCACGTTTCAAGGTGTTTCTAATGTTCCTCGATAGTTTTTAACAAAATGTCTGTGGGTGTGTGTGTGTGTATTACTTTGTACGTATGTGGTCAAAATTTTGGTCAACGATTTCTCGTGAACGAATGGTCCGATTTAACTTTTTTTTTCTCCAATCGATACGTCTTCATGTAACTTAGACCTGATTAGATTTTGGAGTGATTCGCTCTAGTAGTTCTTCTAAATTTTCCTAGAGAAATGTTTCAAAATGGCTAAGATAAGTATTTCTCCTGTATAAATGACGTGATTGGCATTGTCAACATCAGAATATCACTAGAGTCAATCACCCCAGTGATATATCTAGGATTTTCTGAAACTCCAGTGATTTTTCCAGTGGTTTTTCCAAAATTCCCTGGAGAAAAGTTTGAAAATCGGTCAGACAAGGGTTTCTCATGAATAGTTCATGAATTCTCATGAAAAGTTCACTTTTCGTCACAGCGTGATGAAAAAACCTTTTCCTCAGCAAATTTCAAACATCATAATAACAATAAAAATAACCCCCAAAAATGCAAAAATCCTGAAACTCAATATTCAATAAACTCACCAATTAATTCTCCACGGATAAAATCTCTCGGAAACAATTCATCTCACAATTTTCCCGTAATTGATCCCTCACTACGTCATTGTGGTGTCTGTTACCAACAATTTTATCTCACACACGCACACTCCCCCCTCCGAACAATGGGCCGCAGTAACTCGGCACAACCGAAGGTCTTTCTCTGTTGAGATAAAGTCGAGTGATCGTTGAATAGGATCGAAGGAGTAGGGGCCTGCCCACGTGGGGGTCCAGCGCTGGGGCCCGAGTGCGACCCAGCGGCGTCTCTCAGTGTGTGAAACAGTCCCGCCGAGTGCACATGGCCGTCCCTCCTGTCTCATTTTTTTTCTCCCGTTTCCTTCATCGAGAAAAATTAGTCAGTTGCGTGAAAAGCGTTGGTGTTTGTGGATAATGAGGAATTCCGTCGAGTGGAAGAAAATAATAATCCCGAAATAGACCTTCTGCACCCGCAATCTTTCGGTGTAGCAGACGGTCGGGGAGTCATCGATTCCCCCACAACTCGCAAGATAGCTCACTCTGAGTTTGTTCGTTTTATATTTTTACGATAGACTCGTAAATATAACCTCGGCATCGGGACGACAATAGTTGTGTTATCAGTGATTTGTGAGTTTGTTTTAATTGGTTTCGTTCATTGAGTGGATTTTGTGGATTCCGTTGGGAGGGAGAAGGAATGGTACGCTTGTTTCGCATTTGGTGAGTTTTGTCAATTATTTTTTTTGTAACTGAAATAATTCCGCATTAGGGTAAGCTACCCAGTGGATGGACAATGCCCTATAGATGGACGAGCTACTTTTGGGGAGAAAATTACGCAAAAAATACTGAAATGCGAATTGTTGCTTTGAATTTTCACTAACTGTTGTGATTCCTAACCCCTGAGTGACGATTTTTTTTCGATCAATTTTTTTTTCAACTGTTACAAAACAAACGTCCATCTACTGGGTGGTTTTCTTAGGCGTCCCTCTACTGGGCAGTTTACCCTGCTTGTTTATTTATTTATTTATTCTGGGTGTTGGGACCCACAGTTGAGTCACGCAGGCCCTTTCTGCCGGGACAACACCCCGAGAAGTAGTTCCATTTATTTCAGTGAAAATGTTTTGGTTGTGGAATGAATAATTCGTTATAAATTTCATTTCATTATAAATTTTAATGTAATAAAGTGAATTAGACTATTTCGGTGGGTGAGTGAATTGATAAAATGGGTAAAAGTAATGATAAAAGCAGAAAATAGGAATTTGTAGGCCCGAAATTGTTGACCATTGAAATCACAAGTATTTATTCACCTCTTTTTGGTGAGTTTTGTCAATTATTTTTTTTGTTACTGTGAAATCATTCCGCATTACTTATTTATTTATTTATTCTGGGTGTTGGTACACGCAGGCCCTTTTTGCCGGGACAACACCCCGAGAAGTAGTTCCATTTATTTCAGTGAAAATGTTTTGGTTGTGGAATGAATAATTCGTTATAAATTTCATTTCATTATAAATTTTAATGTAATAAAGTGAATTAGACTATTTGGGTGGGTGAGTGAATTGATAAAATGGGTAAAAGTAATGATAAAAACAGAAAATAGGAATTTGTAGGCCCGAAATTGTTGACCATTGAAATCACAAGTATTTATTCACCTCTTTTTGGTGAGTTTTGTCAATTTTTTTTTGTAACTGGAAGCTAGGGCATATATTTACAGGGCCAACACCCCGAGAAATAATTTAATTTATTTCAATAAAAATGTTTTGATCATATGAAATGAATAATTCATCATAAATTTCATATCATAAATTAAATTAAACTATTTTTCTGACGCAGTGAAATTCTAAAACGGGTAAAAGAAACGATAAAAACAAAAAATATGAATTTATGGACCCGAAATAATCAACGATTGAAAACACAAGTATTTATTCCCCTCCTTTTGGTGAATTTTGTAAATTAATTTTTTTCACAACCTCAAAATAATTCCATTTATTTCCATGAAAATGTTTCGATATACGAAATAAATAATTCATCATAAATTTCGCATAATAAATTGAATTAAACTATTTCTCTGGGTGAGTGAATTGCTACAACGGGTACAAGTAATGATAAAAACAAAACATGAATTTATAGAGCCGAAATAATTCCGCATTATTTATTTATTCATTTATTTATCCCGCGCATTGGGACATAGGCCCGTTTTGCCGGGACAACATCCCGAGAAATAATTCCAATTATTTAAATGAAAATGTTTTCATTATACGGAATGAATAATTCATGATAAATTTGAGTGAATTGATAAAACGGGTGATATTACTGATAAAAGCAGAAAATATGGATTTGTAGATCCGAAATAATTAACGATCGAAAACACAAATCGTATTATTTCCAACTGATAGATAAAAAATCTTGCTGCGCAGTGTTTTCCCGTATTTATTCACCTCCTTTTTTATTCATTGACTCATGCAGCAGGTGGATAAATGATGCACCGAGTAAGACTAATAAATGTGCCAACACATGGTGTGAATGGTCGATGAAATATCCGGGTGACTAACAAAGAGATAAACAAATCAAGTGAAACGATCGTGATAACAAAAACATTCAGAACATGAAGCGGAGCAAAATAGCATCGATTTCTTATCGCTGAGTATTTCACGTTCAAGGAACATTTTATCGGTTGAATAGCTGCTCATTCACAACAGCTGGACATACGTACTGGACAGGGCTCAAGTGTTGTGAAGCAATCGTACACGTTGGGGCCACTCCTACCATTCTATCCCAGTACTTTAAACAATTGAGAATTGACGTCCACAGGCTCAAGTATAACTTTAGAATCTGGAGAGACTACGGGCCGTGCACAATACGTCAGAATAGACTTCTCTCTATCTACGGTGAATGCACTTGTTGTCGAGTGTTTCGTTCAGACATACCCGAAGTTAAACCAGATACGTTAATGCTTTCCTTTGATTATTACGAGTTGTGTGGTTTGATTCAAATGCCAGGGCGTTTCAAATGGATCAGGATTGGAGGTTGATGTTGGTTGAGAGTTATTATACAACTACTCAGTGGTAAATAATCAATGAGACGAAATCGGCTGTCGTTTGTTGGAAAATATCACTGTCTGGATGTGAATTTAACTGGGGTTGTGGTGTAAGTTGAGCTATCATCGTGAAAGATTGAAGTTTATTGCATTTTTATTGGCCATTTTATTCTCCAACTTTATCACTATCATCAGCTAGCTGAAATGATCCTGCTTAATATTCAATCCGAAAACTCGAGTGACATTTTATGGACAACCCATATATAGTCGAGAAACGTCCGAAAAAAGGTGATAAAAGAGGATGTAAAAAATATAATAGTGGAAAAAAATTACTTCATATCTTATTTTTGGTTGATATGGTACATGATTTGGAAATTTGAGGAAATGCGAAAAATCGCCGGAGGTTGGGTTTGAACCCACGACCCTTGGGTTCCCAGTCTGAGACTTACGCACATGGCTATCCTCTCAGTTCGTAAAATGTGATATTTTTAATTACGAATATCATATAAATTGGTGAAATGAATAGTCATCTGCTTCGATTTACGTAAAAAAAATATGAATCCATTTGAACAAAAGAAAACGAATGAAATGAATTTTTCGACGGACGTCACACGTTGAATATTCACATCCAACTTCCGAAATTCCGAAGAAAATGCTACCGCACCCCCAAGTCTTAAATAATTCAAGACTTCCTCTTCCTTTTTAAAAAAATCCCAATTTCCGAGAATTTCAACAATTCCAAGTGCTGATTTCACAATGCTATCTCTCTCCTTCCTCCTCACTTTGTCCTCAGCAAGGACTGATTGTGAGAGTCGAGGGGGTCCAGCATGTGTCGCAGAAGGGGCTCCTTCCGACCCACGCGGTGAGGGAAAATTTTTTTTTCAACTTTTCTTTTGATCCCCTGGCCCACTGCCGAGAATAATAAAGCCCTTGCCGCCAAATTAAGTATTTCATTTCTTTTCTCATCTGCAAACAAAAAGCTGTCACTCGAATACTTTTACGAGTTGAAGAGTTGAGACTAAAATCGAGTGGAATAAATGAGAAGTTAAGTGGTTCTATTATTGAAGTTTTTCTTTCATAAAAAAATTTCATTCCTCTCGCTGGCTTCGAGAGGTGAGGTCGACCCTTCTGTGTAGCGACGGCCCTGGCATTCCTCGAAGATCCGTTCTCGGAAGTGAGAGCAAGACACTATACCCAGTGTCCTTTTTACCCATTCATTATTCCTCCTCATTTCTTTATTTCGGTTTAATTTTCTTTTTTTAGATATCCCTTTCTCTCGTCTGCCATATCAACGTCCTAATGAATACGGGAGGAAGTTGGATTCATTATAATCTCATTTCTCTGCCTTTCATTATTTTTTAAATGGTGAATTATTCGGAACGCGACAATTGCTCGAAGAATTATAAATAATGTTTTAATTTTTCCCTCGCAATAGAGCATTCTCTCACCTTTTAATCGTGTTATTTTTCACGTGTCATGTGGAGAGAAGGGGACACACAATCGGATTAGAGAATCGGTCGTGCGATCAATTGAAGGGTTAAGAGGGTTTAAGCGTCACCCACACGTTTCACTCGATGTCGACTCGGTTCATACAAATATCGGATGCTGCCAGAGTATTTTCACGCTTATTCCACGTGATTCTCAACTCCTCTTCGTTATTAATCGTTTTTTTTCTTCTTTTTTTTGTGCATTCAATGCGCCCACGGGCGACAGCCAATATTTCCAATCATTTATTTATCCTCGACCGACTTTGCCAATTCAGGAAGACGTTATTTAAAATCTTTCGCTTGAATGGAGTGAAAACATGTCGAACTTTTACACTAAATTGTGATTTAAAAAAAGAGGAATAAAAAGTGGGTGAAATGATTTTTTTTCAACTGTGAATACTTCCAGTTGTTCTCTCATTTTGAAGATATTTTTTCCGGTTTTAGAATGAGATTTGACTCCTTTAAATTGCATCATTTGGTCAGGAGATATCGTCGATTGAATGAGCGCAGAATTAAAGAATCGTTGAATCAAACGACCATTCTCAACTAAAAAACTGAATTCCCCAGAGAAAATCACTCCATAATAGTGAAAGTATCTCAATCCCCTCAATTCCCTTTGTTCGCCGCACAACTAAAAATCCCAAGAGAATGTTTCTCCCATTCAAAAGTAATGGCGGTAGAATATATTTTTTCCTTTCATTTCAACGTAAAAAATTGATGTAACCTCGGCAGCCTGTAAATTCTGTTCCACTGTATTAACTCTATTAACTACCCGACACACCTGTAGCCAGTAATCCCCCGGAGCTCCACGGCTGCAGGAAAGACGATATCATTCGCTCCGGTGTATGTATCTCACCAGACCAGATCCACTCCTGTGATACACAGGATGGGTTAGATTGTGTGCAAGCGAGTTTCTGTGCAATAACACAGGATGTCTCGACTCGAGCAGCATGAGGGAAAAACGATCAACAAAGGGGACGAATGAGAGATGTATGAAAAAAACGAATGAAAAAGAATCCACTTGCCTATAGATGGTTCAGAATTGCGTTTTTCCACTTCCTAGGCCTTATACAAGATGAATTAAATTAATTTTTTTTGGCACTTTCATTTTTCGCGATTATCTCGGAAACTATGCGAGATAGAGCCTTAAAACCTATTGCATTCGATTCCTGAGGAAATTTAGGTTCCGTATAGGCAGA